TTTTTTCAAACGAATGTAGTGGTTGCGATTGTTGTTGAGTTCTTCTTGAAAAAAAAGTTTCTTTCAAAACAAAATTATCATCATCGGTTGATGATTGTGGTTGTCGGTCGGTAAATGATGATAGTGGTGGTGGTGGTGGTGGTTAAGTTTGATGATAATAACGTTATATATTTTTTTTAAATTGAAAATTGTTATCGTTGTTGGTTAGTAGCAGGTTGATTGGTGTGTGTATATAGGATTCGAACGTTTGTCAAAAACACAGAGCGGAGCGAAGCCAAAATTTTTTGCTATCTTAACCAAATCATCATCATCATTTCTCTTCATTTTCTCTCTTTCTTTTCTTGTTTTTTATCATCATCATTTTGATTTTTTATACTCAAAAAAACAAGAGAGAGAGATGTGTTTGTGTATGAATTCAGATATCACACAGAGTGAGAAAATTATTAATGTTGTGAAGAAAATGATGATGAAAATAATAACGATGATGCTATGTGAGAATCCACTATATGTATCCACTATACATTCTTCGTATATGCATTCACTATATATTGTAGTAGAGGTATGGTATATTACATGCGAAAACACCCACACACACACACACTCATATATATTCAGGTAGTAGCATATAATAATGATGGTAAATGTGGATCTTTTTTTTTTTTTTTTTGGTGGGATTATATAACAACAACAACAAAAAGTTAAAAGTTGGGCGCCAATTGGATTTGTTTTTTTACTTTAGCTCTCTCTCTCTCTTTCTCTCTTTCTCTCCCCATATATCTCATTCATTGAGATTAATGTTTGGAAAAAAAAAAATATTTGATGGCATCCATCCATCCGTCCACCCGACCAGCCAGCCATACCAAATTGGTATTTAGAGTTATGGATTATTATTGAAATGTCTAAGACAAGATGGGGATATATGTGGAACAAATACGAGAAGAGATTTCTTTCTTTTTCCAATTGAGAGAACAATTTTTTGACAAATAGGTTTTTTTCCCCTGTTTTTTTTTCTACAAAATTGATTGATTGATAAATCAAGAATCAATTTATGCAGGAGGGGTGGTAAAAAAAAGTCAAAAAAAAGTTTCATTTTTTTCAAAATAAATATAAATCAAATTTGTCATTTTGTATTTAAATAAAACGTCAATGTCAATTTTTTTTTAAAGAACAGGTATTTTTTTTCTGGTTGCTACCTGCATTGGAAACTTCGAATAAACTATTAACTTACCTGCATTGGAATTTTTTGCAGGTAAAATGAAATGAAATAGTTTTAAGAGTGACGACAGTTTGTCGCTGTGTGTGTGTGTGTGATTTACGGTATTTAGAAAAAACATTTACTGTAGTTTTTTCCATTCGCCTCATTCATTCACTTTAGCTGGTTAACTTAATGGTGGTAATCATAATCTACTTATTTCAAAGCCAAAAATGTAGAAATTTGTAAGATTTTAAAGAAATTTTTCCTCCCCCTCTACTCCTGATGCTAATCAATCAAATTGATGATTGAGCGAGAGCAGAGAGCTAAATGTCACTTTGCCAAAAATCAAAAATCAAAAAAATTATTAATGTGGATTATCATCGGCATTTGACGATCATTAATTAACGGTAAAAAGAAAGAATGAAAGAAAAAAGTTTTTTGAAAACACTAAAAATATCATCATCCTCAGCATCCTTTAGCCAATTTGATTTTTGATTTTTTGGTTTTTTGATTTTTGATCGTTGCACTTTACGGCACTTATTGATAATTTTTTTTCAATCAAATATAACAGGATTACGGGATTTTTTGATTTTTGAAAAACCAAATGAAAAAATGCTCAATCATAACCCAATGGAATTTTTTTTAGTTTCTTTTTCTAAATTTTAATGGCGTTTTAAAAAGGTACAAGCAAAAATGCAATCATCATTCAGTTAATTGTCACACTCGGTGTGTGTATAACAGTGATTGAAACCTTACAGATTTAACTCATTGAATGACTTATTGACTTGTTTAGTTTATCAATTGTTGTTGTTTTTCCTAAAAATACCTTTGCCCTTTAAAAACTAAATACCTGCATGTTGTCTGGCTTACCTGGATGGTTTACCTGTCTGCTAATAATAATGTCATTATCGTTCAATATTTGATGATTATGATATTTTGATTCGGGTAAAAAATGGGTGGTGGTTTTTTTTCTCTACAGTTTTGGTTGGTCATGAAGAGAAAAATCCAATTTTCTTTCGCTTTCTTGCACCAAAAAGCCTGGTGGAAATGATATCAATGAAGAAAAATGAAATGAAAAAATGGCACGCCTTTGGATTCTTTTTTCGTTTTTTTTTCGGGTTGTTTGGGGTTAGTTTCATCAGGAATCGTTTATGAATGAAATGAAAAAAAGAATATATTTGGACTGGAGAAGAAGAAAAAGAAATCCGAGAAAAACTTCAATACTCCAGTTGCAATAACTTTTTCAAAAACAAAACGAAACGAAACGGAATGAAAAAATTTACACTTGAAAATTGAAAAATTGAAAGAATTTTACGTTTTGTCAATTCATTCATCATTATCCATCTTTCCGTTAATCTGATTGATCTTGATTTGATCGAGTTTCAGTTATTTTCTCCTTTTTTCTCGCTTTTTTCCCATTGATTGATTAATTTTCAAATAATTCATTCTGATCACATTTCTATTTTGGCTGTTTATTTTTTTTCCCTCAAAAAATTAATAATTGATAAAAAAACGACGATGAGGATGATGTTGATCAATGATACACAATGATGATGATCAATTATTTTCTCTCACCCAATGCGATATAAATTAATTTAGAAAAAAAAACATGGAAGGAATCTGGCGAAACAAAAACCCCTTAATAGATCTGGCCTTGAATACAAATCAAAGAAAAAAAAACTAACACACATCCAGAAAATCAAATAAAAAACACCAAAATATCATTGGTGTTTGGTTTGATTTGATCGGGAAAAATCAAATGTCAATTCGGTTGCTTCTTTTTGAAAAAAAATTTTATTTTATTTTTCATCTGGCTCAATTCACATTTGAAACGAAAAACAGAACAGAGCAAACAGACAGAACGAGATAACATTGTTTTTCATTTTCACTTTCCAATCATTTTTATTTAATTGAATTTCTTTCTCGTACCAAGATTCTCTTTGTTTTACGTTCAGTGTCGTCGACGAAACACACACACACAATCTGAACCAAAAACTTGATCAGAAAAATTCATTTTCAATTCGAATTTGAATCAATGAAAAAAAAAATTTTAAAATTTTAAAAATTTAAAAATCAGTCGCTTTTTCCAAAAAAAAACGATCGGGTCGATGTCGAAAAAAATGTGGAAATTTTTAGCTTGACAAAAATGGATAAGGAAAAAAAAGCAAAAAGTAAAATCTTCCATTTCAAGCAATGTTTCAACAAGGAAAAAACTGATCCAGAAAAAGAAAGAAGAAGAAAATATTTTGAAATGATCCACATGTCATCATCATCATCATTGTTATATCGTCGATTAATCATACATATTTTATCCATTGATTGGAATCTTGATGTAAACAAAAACGAAAATAACTTTTTTTTGGTCTGTCTGTTTGACAAACTTTCTATTTTTGATGATGATGATGATGATATTTTTGTGGTTGTTTTTCGATCTTTTCAGGAAATATTTGGAAATTAATTTGAGAAACCAAAAACTCATCATCAAAAGTTATCTTGAAAAGATAATCTGTTTCTTTCCAGGATTATCAGATGTATTCAGATTTGTTTGTTTTTTGAAGTGCAAGTTGACAATTTTCAATTTGCAAAATAACAATTTTTTACTTCAAATAAAAAGACTGATTTCCTAATTTCTAATCCGAATGTGATGGATGAAAATCCAGAAAGAGAAAAACAGAGAAAATAACCGAAATCGATTGTACGGTTCGACATGAAAAAAAAACTTGAATTTCTTTTCACCGTCCATTGATAAAATCGTTAACTGTTATTCGATGCTTTGTTTGTTTGTTTTGGATTGGTCGGTTGGTTGGTTGGTCATTTGGTCAATGTTAAATCATCATCATTATCATCATTGTCAATAGACATCGATTGATTCAATGATTTGTATTGATGCTAATAATAACCAACCAACCAAACAATGGTAAAATCCATTGATTCGATTGAAAAAAAAACAAACATTATAAAATGAAATGAACAAGATTTTCTTTCTTTCTTTCTTTTGACTAACATCATGTTTGGTCATTACCACACGACACTGGATCTGTTCATTATTTTTCTGTTTCTGTTTTTTTCTGTTTGTTCTACAATTGCTGTTCAGACCACATAAAAGTTGCCTGTTTATATTGATCATCATCATCATTATAACCGGATTGTATCCGGTAACCAAAATAACCGCAACAACAACAACAACAACATTGTTCAGATCTTCAGATGAATAAGCAAATTTTTTTGATGAAAAGAAAAACAGAAAACGATATTGATTTCATTTCATTTTATTGATTTCTGTTGAATTCAATTATAGTTTTTCTTTTTTTAAATTATAGAAAGTTTTTTTTTGAAAAACAACAAACAGGATGACCTGGTTAAAAATTTTAACTAGCATCCCTGAATGATGATTATGTCGATCATTATGGTTTAAAAAAAACCTTGGCATGGATTTTTTTTTCTCCTCACAATTTAGACAATTTACACGTGCTTCAACAACAACAACAACAAATTTTTTTTTTTGTAATAATCCATTTACGGAAATATAACGATAATAATGATCATAAAAAACTTTTACTTAAAATGGTAACAACAACATCTTAATTATCATGTTTTAAAAAAAGAAAAGTGATTTTTGTTACACACTATAACTACCACGCGCAGATAATCATTCTCGTTACATAAATAAATTTAAAAAAAGTTATAATTTTTTTTTGCAAAATTTTATAAATAATAATCTTTGTTGTATAAATAAAATAACAAAATTTTTTGATCATCATCATCGTTATAATACATGTAATATTCATCAAATGAAAGTAGGAAAGAAGAGAAAAAATTGGTCAATTTTTGTTCATTGTTTGTTCAAATTGATTTGGCCCCAAATAAATCATTTTCATTTGAATCATTATCATTATCACCAGATATTTTTGTTACAATATCAAAATGTATAATATCACTATTATTATCATCACCATTAATACCACCACCATTAATATTACTATTACCACCACCAAGTAAACGTTTTGATTCAATTGATTCATCATTTTTTTCATTGTTTGTAAATAATAATGATTGATTTTTTAATGATGAATGTGAATCGATAGCTATAATTTTTAGATTGAAGAAAAACAGAGATTATTTTTAAAAAATTGGAATGTTTTTTTTACAAAATAATAATAATTACCTGAATATGAATCTTTAACTTTAAGCATAACATGTATGATAATACCCAACAAGCAAACAATTAAACCAATAAAATTTGTTAAACTCATTTGATCACCATTAAAATTAACAGCTAAATATAATGTAAAAATTTCTTTGAATATACCGGCTAATGATAATGTTAAACTTGAGGTAAATGTTAACAAAAGATATTCAGAAAATTCCATTAAAAATGCTAAAAATGAACCAATCATTATTTGATGCCAAAAATCTGGTATCATTTCTAATGTTGGAAAATCATTTTTATTCAATGATGTTGATGGATGATGATCATCATAATCAATATAATTTATAGATGGTAATATTTCAAAAATAAATGCTAATGGTAATAGGCCAATAATCATCCATGGTTGTATATGATACATCATATCGATTGGATGGCTTAATGCTAATTGTTTGGAAAAAAGAAAGAATATTCATTATTATCAGTATCATCCAATACGCATCCTTCTATACACCACACTTACAACTTTCTTTACGTTGCATTAATTTTTGTGATAATGTCCATCGTAAACCACTAAGCATTGATGCACTAAGTACAAGTAAAAATCCATTCAATTGAAATTGTGTTGATTTATATGTAAACATAAATAGACCAATCGATATCAATGATACAACGATTATTAATGATAATCGCTATACAAAAGTGTGTGAAACGAAAAGGAAATGATAAAAATTAACGGATAAAAACTTGACCTTGAATTTTTGTTTTGTTTTTTTAAAGTTACCTTTTTTTCCAAATCTAATAATAATGCAAATGCAAGTATAAATATAATACATGTTGACTTAGTCATTGTATACAATGAGATCGTTATAAATTCAAAACTCCAATTTGAAAAACCAATATCTAATGCTGAAGCAATACCAGGTAATGATATTCGTCTAAGATTATCTTTCCAATGTAATGTTATTCGGGTTATACCGGTTATTTGTCGATATAACCAACGAAATAATGATGCCAATGCAAATTTTATAATCAAATGACAAACAACAATTATTAATGGATAATGAAAACGCTGTTTGAGAAAAACAAAAAACAATTAGAAAATTTGATATTTAGAAAATCAGTAAGCAAAAACAAAACAAACAAACTTTGATAAACCATTTTTGATAGAATGTAATACCAATGGAAAATGTATAATAAATCAATATTAAACCAATGGTACGAAATATAATGAAAAATTGTCGTTCCCAATGTGATTTCATTGTTATTGTTGTTGATATAGTTTTTCTCATTGAAATCATAAAATTAGTAAATTTTTTCGAATAAAATTTATAAATTGAAGTCTTCATTGATGATGATCAATACTGGGATACAATAAATTGAACAGTATCCATAAAGTGAAAAAAAAAATTACACATTCGTTTCCTCTTTATGCACACACAAACAAACGATTGTTTGTTTGATTATTATTGGAAAAAAAAGCTTGATTTTTTTGCAGATCAAACAACACAACAGTAAATATTATCGGTATAAACAGGACCCGCCATTAAATTTAATCTGTAACCACCAACGAGAAGAGAAAAATGAAAATGATAAGATTATGGAATTGGCATGACAAAAAAATATAGCAAACATTGGCAAATCCTGGCTTTGTTGGTTGGTTGCTGGTTGATTTTCACGATCAAATCAAATCAATTTGATGACCAAAATTGTTTTCGCGTTTTTTTTCAATTATCATCATCATCATCATCATTTTTTCGTCCAATCTTGTTGATATTTCAGAAATTGTGACCAAAAAACAAACGAAAAATGGCACGTTTTCAATTATGTTATCATTGAAAAAAAATGAAATAACGTTCGATAATCGTCGTTGATATAGACGTAATCAATTCATTTAGTTTTTTTGTTTTTGTTTATTCAATATTTATTATGCGATTTTCTTTTAGTGGCCAAAATATAATGTAATTTTAGAGTGAAGAAAAAAAAATGTTTGGCATGCGCATTGGCCAATGTTATGAGATATGAGGGCAGTTCGAATCCATTTTTTATTTCAATGGCGATTTCTTTGTTTTGTTTTGTTTTGTTTGGAACTTTGGAACAAAACAAAATGAATGAAGGTTACGGCTGAAAATTGAAACTTGAGACTCTCTTTTTTTATATTGTGGGGGATGAAAAAATAAAAACAAAACAAAACAAAACAAACAAACATTTATTACAGGTGTGCGCTTGACCTCTACTTTTAATGATATCTCTTTCTCTCTCTCTCTGTGTGTTTTTTCAAACATAATCAATCGATTATCGAACCTGTTTCATAATCAAATATGATGTTTATGAAAAACGAGAGAAAAACTATTATCAGGTAGATTTAAAATATCAAAAAAGTCTTTTTAATAAAAATCGAATGTTTGTTTTCAAATATTATCAATTTTTGATTTTTTGCACCGTCAACTGTCGCCATCTATCCGACATTTTCGTTAAACTTTTTTTCTCATCATCATTTTATTGTTGTTATTGATTTCCGTTCGATTTGTTGAATTCGATTCCATCATCGAATTTGAATCTGAATCCGAATCCGAATCATCATCGTTATCATCTCCAGAATTATCATCGGTAAGTTCCGATCCATCATCATCATCATCATCTTGATTGATTTTTTTATCATTTTTCGCAGATAATGATGATGATTTCGATTGTGGTAATCGATTCTTTATAGATCTTCCAAATGATTGAATTTTTTTCTTATTATCATCTTTATTTGCTGTTGTTGTTGTTTGATTCGATGTTTTATCACTTGATTTCAAAAAATTCTTTTTCTGATTTATCGATATTTCAGGTGTTGAATTGAAACGTTTTAAAACCGATGAACGATTTTTTTTGTTTTGACCAGATTTTTTTACCAAACGTTTATCATCATTATCATCATCGTTATCATCATCATCATTATCGCTACGACTTTTACCGGATGATTTTTGATTTGATGCAACGATATCATCGTCAGTATCATCACTTGGTTCACTATGGTGGTCACTATTTTCATCATTTCTTGAATCATCTTCATCATCGTCGTCATCGTTTTCTTCGTCATCTTCATTTTCTTCATCCGAATCCAAACCATTATCCATCATTTGATTTGATCGTTGATTTTTAAATTGAAAAAATTCATTAAAATATTTTAAATCTTTTGTTGGATTCATTTCATCCAAAATATGTTTATAAATATAAGTTAAATTATTGAATGATTTCATTGTAAATCTTAGTTCGGTTAATATTAATTTCAGCAATAATTTCTATGTTTTTTCGGTAAATCAAAAATTACAAATTACAAATTACAAAATTAATCTGCATACCTTGAATACAATATTCTTTTTAATTTCATATTGTTGAATGGATTTTTGTAAAAATTTTTCCACTTTTTTATCATTATTTTTATTGATTGTTTTATCTAAACGTTCCATACTTTGACTTCGACGTTTAGAAGCGGTTAATCTTTGATTCGTTGTTGATGATGATCGAATCCAATTCAAACTTCGATTTGAATCCAACATTTTATTCGTATTTGATCGTAGTTCTTCCTGATCATTTTAGTGAAACAAGAAGAAAAATTAAAAGTTTTAAAACCAATGTTAAAAACTCGACAGACTTACCCGTTGTTTTTGTAATGTTTCACCATATTCCGAATATAATGGAAGTAATTTATCTTCCAGATATAGAATCTGTTTGAAAAATACGTATTTTTTCAGTTAATAGTAAGGTAAGAATATTCTTTTTACCTCTGAATCACGATGATCTTGTATCAAACGAAATATTTTCGATAATTCCTGTACAGTACGTTTTGAACTTGGATTCAATATCTCGGTTTGTGAAATTTGATTCAATTTTTCTGCTACAATATCACCTGCATCACGCAATTTTCCATTACGTTTTGCATATAATGATATTGATTGTATTAATGTGGACATTTGTTTTTCATAATTTTCACCACGTACCAATAGATAACGTATTTTGGATTTTCTTTTCAATCAAAATAAAAATATCAAACCAAAAGTAATCAAAATGAAAGAACAAATTAATTTCAAAAGCAACCTTCAATCTCCAAAAAAAATTACCTGCTAATATTGTTGGTTGTTCGGCCATTATCATCATTTGAAATATTAAGCTGTTGCTTATTACGATTTTTTCCAACCATTTTTTTTTTCGTTTGATAAAGATTTTCAATATTTGAATCAAACTATGTTGTTACTTGGATAATGTCAGTTTATTCAGTGTTTGATGATGATGAGAATCTATCTCCCAAACTGAAAGTTTTTTGGAAATGTTTTTTACTTTCTCCTCGGTTTTTGTTATTATCATTTTTTATTTTTTTCGCTGGTTTCTAGAGTTTCCAATATGTGTATCCTCTCTATATAAAAATTGGTTAGGTTTCGGTTTGTTTGGTAATGACCATCATCGCTATGGTAACCAGAAAATTTTATTTTTTTCCCATCGATTATTATTGTGTTTACCTTGAAAACACACACACACACTTCATCATCATTTTTTGTTTGTCGTTTTTTTTCCTTGGCCTCTCTCTCTCTCTCTCTCTCTCTATTGCTTCACTTCACTTTCCATATTCATCATCCATTTGAATTAAATTGACATTGACATTATATGCAAACCGGTAATATGTTTACCAAGAATAGCATAAGATTATTGACAACCAATTTTTGTCAAACAAAACTAATCAAAAATAGAAAAAAAAACTTGAACCAAGTACAGCCAAATACAGAATATTACGCAAGTTCAATATGCAATATACCTTGGATTCTCGATTTTGCTTTCAATATCATTTTTATTTATTTATTTAGTTAATTTTACAAAAAAAAAATAATAATTTTATAAAGGTAAAACTTTTTTTTTTTTTGGTTTGGTTTGGTTTTTTCATGATTTTCTTTTGGTTTTTTTAAAAGAAATGTACAATTTTACAATTAAATCGATAAACGACCTACACTATGGCTTTGTGATCGATCGAATCAATCGATCGACTGAAAATCATTAGTTAGTTATTAATCGGGGGGAAAAAAAGGCACATTTTGTTTCATCACCAGGTTTTGTAATTTGAAGAAATCATTAAATTAAGTAGTCAAGTGTGTGTGGTGTGTAAAGGATGTTTTGTGGATTTTTTTGAAATTTTCATGGTTTGAGATCAAACAACGATGGCACTGATGGTTCAATCATTATCATCAATATTTTCAACATCAATCTCGACATCATCATCGATATTCGTGGCTGATGTCGATGATGATGATAAGATTTTTTTATCCATAAGAATTTCTTTATTATTGATTAAATTCAATTCTTGTTGATTTTTTTGTCGTCGTCGTTGTTGTTGATTCGTATTTTCAATCAAGTTCAATGCGCTAATGGAATTCTGTTGTTGCTGGGGTTGTTTTAAATTGGGTAAATGTGCAGGTGGAGGGCATCGGCTTGTCGTTGTCATATTGAACGGTTTTGAGCAAATATTTGTCATTGATGATGTCGATGATGAAGAACTGGACGATGAACTTAAACTTGAAACAATCGATGATGATCGTGATGATGATTTACTAGTAGTGGACATTCCTGTTTGTTTACTTGTCAACGTAACAACAATATCACCAACAATCAAACGACGACAATTTAATCCATAATGTTTTAATGTATTCCGGGGGGAATATGAACTCCATCCTTCTTGATAAACAAAATATGGATGATCGATTGGTGAATCCAACGATACTTTTATACGTGTTTGTCCTATTAGAAAATTTATTCGTATTTGTTGTTGTTGTTGTTGTTCTGAATGGTTGTTCTTTTTATTAACACTATTCGATGATTTTTCCTTTATAGCTACGATTTCAGCCAATTCAATACAAAATTTTTCATTAAATGTTGCACTTTCAATAAAATCATTGGTTGATAATTGTTCAATTTTTTTCAAATTTCCATCACCTAATTTTATTGTTGATCCTTTACGAAAATATTCCGGGAATAAATTCGTTGTTGTTGCGGAAGATTTCTTTGTTTGTTGTGGTTGTAAAAATTCTTGATTCTGTAGTTTCTTTTTATCCGCAGTTTCTTTTAACAATAAAGAATTTGTCGACGATGACGTTGATTTTGTTGAAAATTTTGTCGTTTTTAATTTATTTGATTTTGAAGTTTGATTCTGACAACTACTTCCACTGTTACCACTACCACTGGTAATATTGGCGGGAAATTCAAAACATTTTTCCATCGACGAATGATGATTATGATTTGATGATTGATTTGGAATTGGTGGTGCTGATAATGGTATTTGATGATGATGATGATTATGATGATGATCAAAATATTTTAAATCCATTAATCCATTATTGTTTGTATATGGTAATGGTGATGATGTAGTCGACGATGTTGTTGGTGGCAGTTGATGACGACTTGATGATGATGAATATAATAATGGTGATGGTAAAAATGCACTATGTTGTCTGCTAAATGCATTGCTATTAACAACATTTAAACCATTATCGCTTTGGCTTTTATTAATAATATTAATATTTGGTGGTTTTAATAATAATCGTTGTTTACGTAATGATGTCGTTGATGATGATGATGAGGAATTATTGCTCGATTGATTATCGATTATCGATTGTTGTTGTTGTTGTTGTTGTTGTTTAGTCTTATCCGATCCATCCAAAATTTTTCTCTTAAGACTTGTTTGCTGTTGTTGCTGTTGTCCATCACTGGGATTATTATTATTATTACTGGATTTATCATTTTCAGGTGGCAGTAGTAAATTATCACATTTCAAACGATTTGCAGTGAGATCAATAATTTGATTGTTGTTGTTGTTGTTGTTGATTTTCGTTGGTTGATTCTCTTTTATTGTTGGACTATTCAATGTTGTTGTTGTCGTCGATTGTTGTTGTTGTTGTTGTTGATATTGTAAATGCTGATGCTGATGATCATTTGGAAAAATTGATTCATGAAAAAATATCGACGATGGATTTGCTGTTGTTGGCGTTGATGGCGACGATTGTTGATGCTGATGATGTTGATGGTGATTATGAATTGGATTTGGCACAATAAATGGTGAAATAGGTGGTTGCTGTTGATTTGTCGGTGATGCAGCAGCGGCTGCTGCTGCTGCAACTACCGCTTGTTGTTGATAATAAGAATAAATCGATGGCATTAGATAATGTGATGGATATGTTGTTGTTGTTGATGAAAATGCTGATGGTGATGTTGGATTTGGCCTTAAATGACCCGATTGTGATGGTGGTGGTGGTGGATATGATGATAATGGACTGTTGTTGTTGATGGTGGAAGAATTTGTTGTTGTTGGTAATATAAAAGCGTTATTGGATAATGGTGATAATGATGATGATGAAGAATTCGACCATGTAAGATCTGTAATGAAAAAATTGAAACAAAGTTAAAACCAAAAAAATCAAAAAGTAATAAAAATAAATTTCCCGGGAAAAAATATTACCCAGATATTTTTTTTTATTTCCAAGAAACTTACCCGGATTCGATTGCATAACCGTATTGTTTGTACATTTTTGTATTGTTGTTGTTGTTGTTGGTGATGATAATGGTGAACGATTGTTGATTGTCTGTTTCCCGGGCGATGATAATGATGATGAAAAATGTAACAATTTTTCCTTATTATTGTTAGTAGTAGAATCTGTTATCGATTTGAATGCTGATTTTAATTGTTCTGCAGTACTATTGCTGCTGCTGCTGCTGGTGGTGGTTGTTGTCTTGGTTTTTAAATTCAAATTTTCCATTAAATAATCTGAATATTTTGCGGTAATATTTTTACCGCTTCCGATTAAATGCGGTGAATGCGGTAATTCATTATTATTATTATCGCTTTTACGTTGATTTAGGATTTTCGAATCACTTGTTTGATTGGTAATCCACGATAATTGATGATGCGAATGCGAATGCGGATGATTATGTGGATTCATTGCAGAAAGATAACCAGGAGAAGGTGGAGGTGGTGGTGGTGGAAAAGGAAACGCAGTGTTTAATGTTGGAGAATTTAATGTTGGTGTTGTTACAGATTGATCCGATGATGATATTAATCGATGATTTAGTTGGTGGTGGTGGTGGTGGTGATATTGATTGACATGATTATGTAGATTGTTACCATTTGATGGTATAATCGATTGATTAGCCATTGGCATTGATGTAAATATATTGGTAGTCATTTCATTTAAAGTTTATTAGTTTCAAATAAAAGAATTTCAATGTTTTTCATTCATTCATTCAATATTGTCCATCAGTTTCGTTCTATGTGTGAAAAATTGAAAAAAAAATTGAAAAAATTAATGAAATTTTACGTCAAAAAAATTATAAAGGAAAAAAAACGTTCGAGAAAACAAGAACATTCATTTGAAACGATGAAAAGAAAAAAGAAAAAAGAAAAAAGATTATCATCAAAATTGACATTGGATTATATTGGGAATTGCACTGGTTTGTTGCTTTGCACTGTGTTGTGTTGTTTTACACTTGATCCGTCCGGTATATTCACATCACACAACTACAAAGGAAATACAACAACAAAATTCAAGCAGAAATAAGCGACAAATTAATTCAACATTATAAATGTTGAATTAGCCAACCAACCAGCCAAAAAAATGATATGAATTTTGTTTTTGTTTTTTGCTTTTTTTCATAACCATATTCAGACACACAGAGAGAGTGTGTGTGAGAGAAATGACGTAACTTGTAACGGATATGATAATGATGATGATCTTATCGTGAAATGTATGAATATTTTGGTTGTTGTTTTTGGAAACTAAAATAAAAAATTTTGTTTGATTTTGGAAAAAAATCGATTTTTTCAAAACTCTCTTTTCCACCATATAAACATTTGATGATTTGATTTTTCTCATTGAAAAGGGTTTGTTATTTTTTTTCTTTTTTTTTGCCAAAATAATAAACAAGGATGTTTGATTTTTGATTGAATTGAATTGAATGACGTTTGTTGGAATGCAATTTCGAATGATGATGTTTGGCTGAAGAATTTCAAAAAAAAAAACAAAATTTTTTTATATCATCGCCGTCGTCGTTAAAATCAAATTTGAAATTATCATTTTGTGTGCTGAATTCTGCCCGAAAAAAAAAATTTCAAGCAAAAAAAAACCAAAACACACCCGAAACGAAATTATGAATATTCTAAATATTCAAATTTCAATTATCAATCATCATTAAAACCGTAGAAAAAAAAACAATAATGATAATGGTAATTACCGTAATAATTTAGGTTTCACATTGATCGGGTGTGTGTGTGTGTGTGTGATGACAATCAGAAGCTCATAATATCAGGAAGAATCAGATTTCAGATTTTTTTGTTTTTTTTGTAATTAATTAACTAATTACATAATTGAAAAAACAAAACAAAACAAAAATTTTCAACAAAAAAAATCATCACATAATTAATCAAATTATCGAAATTGGAAAATGTGTCTATTTTTACCCTATCAATAACCAAAAAAAAAACAAACATCCATATTGTTTATCTTATCTTATCGACTATAATGACTTAACCATCGAAAGAAAAAAAATAAGGTTTATGCCAATTTGCCCATATACAATGGAATGTGCAAACTATTATTTTTGTTCAAACAAAATTCTTCTAAACCAAAAAGGGTACGAAGATACGAAAAACAAAACTGAAAAACAAAAAATCTACATAAAGTGATAAATAAACACACAGCTAAAATGTTCAGGGAAAGAAAAATAAAAATTGTTGTTGTTGTTGAATATCATCCTCGAAAAAACAAGGTAGAAAAAAAGGTGATAAATGTAATCATCAAACGATGAAAACGATGAAAATCCATTCACTTTAACTTTAACCACGACCGTGACCGAAAAGCAGCGATATTTTAACCAAACAAATCGGTCAAAGTTCTCTCTCTCTCTCTCTCTTGTTGAATAATGTTTCTTCGGGCAACAATTTTTTTTTTGGTGATCATCAAGTGGTGGTGATGATGGTGGAAAGATGAGTAAAAAAAACCCGAGAAAACTAAATAAGACAAACAGAAAAAAAATCCTAAATTTATCATCATCATCATGATGAAAAATCTTTTAAAGAAAAAAACAGCATCATTTTTTTCAACATTTCAACAGGTATTTTTTCATTCACATTTTATTCACAAACATCCAGGTACATTGACATTGACCTCTGTCCATCTTATGTGTGTGTGTGTGTTTGCTGTGTAAATGTTTGTCATATCATTTTTTTTTTCTTCTACAAAAAGATGTTTGCAGAGAAGACAGAAAAGCAAAATCTGGACAAACGAAGACGACTACGACAAAGTTAATAAGCGATAAAATCATCAGGTTGAATGAATGAAACGTGAAGCGCAGTATTTAATCCGTCGATGTTTAGATGCGAAAAAAACAAAATAAACAAAAATGGTGAGATAGCATCACCGTCGTCGTCGTTTTTGGATGTTACGAAAAGTGTAATTTGAAAAATGTTTGTCGACAGTATCCGGTATTTTTTCATATCAAATGGAATGTGACATTAATTTGTAACAGCCAACCGAATTCAGATCAGATAAATGATGATTGGTAAAATTTCAAAATTATTTAACCCTTTTAGCGACCGAGAAAACATTTTTTCGGATCAAAACGTAAGAAAGAAATGTTTTCATCAATTTTTTTTCTAATCCAAGAAAGAAAAATTTCTCATTAATTTTTCTCACTTAACACTTTTTTCTTACACAGAAAAAAAAAGTAATCAAAGTGTTATTCGCTGTTTATTTTTTCTTCCTATCTCTCTCTCTCTCTCTCTCTCTCTCTCTCTCTCTCTCTCTCTGCTGATGCAAAAATGTAAATAGAATTTATATTTTTAACAACAACCAACCAAAAAACGAAGATTATTCATTCATTTAGCAAACAAACAAACAAACAACAAACAAACTGTTCATACAAAACACGAATGAATGAAGCGAACTTATTTCAATTTGCACTGAAATCCAAATAGGATAAAAAAAACAGAAGAGAAACAAAACGATGAAGATGAAGATGATGAATCGAAAATTAACTTGGCACATTTACGGAAATATAAATAAATAAACAAAATCAAACAAACAAACAAACAAAGAATTTAAATTCTTCTTCCAACCAACCAACCAACGATGATGAATAAAGATGTAGAACAGCAGCAGCAGCAGCAGCAAAAAAACAAAAGCAAAGACAGGCCAAACACACATTGAAAAAAATGATGTCAACACTTTGTTGAAAACAGCAAAAAAAAAATTCAAATCCATAATGAATGAATGAATCATCAATGGAGGAAAAAAAGAGAAAGAAAAAAGATCTTTGAACATACAATATTTATTAAGTAATCATTATGGCGATGATTATAAGTAGAAATCACTGAAAATCACACTGAAATTCAAACATTCATGTGAATTCCCATAGAAATACGAATATATGATGTTTGTTTTTGGTTTATTTAGTGGTTTGATTTTTTTGATGATGATAATAATCAGCGATTATTGATTATTGATGATTTTAATCGTTGTTGTTGTTGTTGTTGCTGGTGGTGATGATAATTGTTTGATGGATTTTTGTTTTTCGTTGTTGATGATGATCATTTCGTTGTTTGTTGATTATTTTCCTTTCACTAATCTCTCATAATCAATTATATAGATGTGATACATGTTTACAATAAACTAAACAGAATTTGAATAAAACTTTTTTCGATTGATTGATTGATTTGATTGATTGACATTTTTGTCAAAATGAACATACAGCTAAACTAAATGATGTGATATGATTGGAAAAATGTAAATAAATAAACACTGTGTGTTGTTGTAGACGAAACGTTTTTCGAAAAACTTTCAATATTTTCGATTATTGATTATTTGGGATTCTCGATGATGTTTTTCAGTCACGAATTTTAATTTGATTTTCGATTTTTGATTTTCGAAAAAAGAAATGCATCAACAAGTTGTTATTCTCTCACACTGCTGTGTCTGTATGGGATAAGTGTAATAAGTGTTACATTCTTGGTCATTGAACGTTGGATGGATGCATAAACACAAATCAAAATCAAAACAAAACAGAATAAAAATTGGAAAAAAAAACAACAACATTCATTTCAATAGAGATTATTATCTAAGAAGAAAAAAACGGGGTGATTATTCGGTGATAAAAAAAAGGGGGTTAACAAAAATGAATGAATGAATGGAAAAAAGCAACCAAAACAGACAAATTCTTCGGTTACATAAGCGTGTTTGCGCACGTACGTGTATGCACCGAATGGAAGCTACAAACAAACTGAAAAAGAAAAAAAGAAAAATCTTAACGAAAATCCTACACGAACAAACGAAGAAAACGTAAACGATTTTTTTTGAATTTTTCCTCTTCGTCGTCGTCTTGGTTCACACACACTGGACTAAGAAGAACGAAGAAGAAGAAGCCAAAGCCAAAACATCGGTTGTCGTGGTCTTCTTCTTCGTTGATCGTTGAATCTTTACTTGTTTTTCGGCTCTTCTCTCACCACACACTCAATGCGCGAAATAAAAAATGAATTGAATGAACACACCATACATACACAGTGAAAGAAAAAAGAAAACTTTTTTTCGAAAAAAAACTCACGAAGCTTTCCCTTTATTCATATCTTTTTGAACGTATCGTCACTTCGTAACTTCGACATCGTCGTTCTTTTCGTAGTTTTTTTTCATTTCTCCCGGTTTTTCATTTTCCACAACTACCATCCAGTCAAACATTGAATGGTGGAAAGTAAGACCCAGGAGTTTTTTCTTTTTTTCTTCTACACACTTTCTTGGTCTTCAAAAACGAAAAAACGAAAATCTTTGAAAACTCAATTCATGTGGTTCATCATCAACATCGTCAAAGTTTATGATGATGATGCATCGAGGAGGTATATTGATGAACAGCTTGGTTTGGTTTATGTTTGGCTTTTTTTTTGATTTTTTTTTTGGTTGTCGTGATGAATCCAAGCAAGGTAAATCAGAGAGAAGAAAATCCAACCAATCAAGAGGACCATAAAGGTGAAAGGTGAAGTTTGCCCTTAGTTTATTTGACGATGACGATGATGTTGATGAGATGAGACACGAATCACACAAACAAATCGATAAATATCACATACAAACAAACAAACGAAAAAAAATAACACGGTGGACACACACAGGTGATCACTCAGAAGATTCTTCGGTTTGATGATAATATTTGGATCAAAAACACCAAATGATGATGATGGTGATAGAGAGAAAAAGAATGTACGATTCACCTGTGTTCATAAACTTTTTTTTACCTGATTTGCACGTGTGTTTTTCCATTCATTCAGTCTTATTTGATCAAAATCCCCAGATTGTTTGTTTGTTTACTTTATTGATTTGTATTTCACACACACACACACAACAAACAAAACATCCAACCTTTTTTTATGGCTTTTTTTCAAAACTAAAAAACTAACTAAATATTCCTTTTGATTAGTGAATCCTCTCGTTTATGAATGGAATTTTATCTCACAAAAAAACGAAAAAAGATTCTCATTTTTTTCTATTTTTTATTGATGTATGATTTTAGATAATCTTCTCTGTGTATTATTAACATTTGTAAGACATTTGTCAACAATCAATTTGGTTTGTTTGGTTTTTTTTTGCTTTTTACATTCAGAAAACATCATCTTATCATCATCAAACAAACAAACATGATTTCTATCTCTGCTTTTTTTGAATTTAGATTTTCTTCTCTTTCTAAGGGGATTTGTTGTTGTTGTTTTGTTGTTTGTTGTTCTTTAAATATTTATTCAAGAGTTTCTGTGTATTCACAACGATGATGATAAATAAAAATGCAAAATCGCAGCAGGTTAGAGAAACAAAAAAAAGGTGCAAAGAAGAAATAAAATGTACCGTATAACCAACCATCAGGTGATACAGGTGTTCATCCAAATTTTTGGTTGATTTGGGTGTTACTGATTCTGAAAACAAAAAGGGACAGACAATCTGAAATAAAAAATGTTTGGAATGTTTTTCTCAGAAAAAGTTTTACAGACAATTTTTCTCTCTGATTATTTTCAAATTTACCAAAAAAAAAGGTTTTTATTGATTTATCAAAATAACAAAATCAGATAAGCAAAAAGTAAAAATGAAAATGATTTAAAAAATCATTAATCAAAACACACACACTTGTTGATTGATTGATTGATTGAATGGATTTGGATTATATCTTACAGTAATGTTGTTGTTGTTGTTTCTGTTGATAAATCCCGATTCATCATAATAACCATAATAATGATAATGATCTATTTTTTCTCTTTCTCTCTCTCTCTCTCTCTCTCTCTCTCTCTCTCTCTCTCTCNCAAACAAACAAACATGATTTCTATCTCTGCTTTTTTTGAATTTAGATTTTCTTCTCTTTCTAAGGGGATTTGTTGTTGTTGTTGTTGTTGTTTGTTGTTCTTTAAATATTTATTCAAGAGTTTCTGTGTATTCACAATGATAATGATAAATAAAAAATGCAAAATCGCAGCAGGTTGGAGAAACAAAAAAAAGGTGCAAAGAAGAAAAAAAATGTACCGTATAACCAACCATCAGGTGATACAGGTGTTCAACCAAATTTTGTTTTGATTGGGTGTTACTGATTCCGAAAACAACAAGCGACAGAATGAAAAAATGTTTGGAATGTTTTTCTCCGAAAAAAGTTTTCAAGACAATTTTTCTCTTTGATTATTTTCAAATTTGCCCAAAAATCCTTTTTTTTTTTTGGTTATCAAAATCAGATAAGCAAAAAAAGTAAAGATGAAAACGATTAGAAATGAAAATGATTTTAAAAAATCATTAATCAAAACACACACACACTTGTTGATTGATTGATTGATTGAATACCTTACACTATGGTTGTTGTTGTTGTTGTTGATAAATCCCAATTCATCATAATCATAATAACCATAATAATAATGATAATGATCTTTCTTTGGAATGAATGTTTGTTTTTTTGTATTGTATGAATAGTAAGAAATGATGATGATTAAGATATACACTATTTTAAAAGCTAAATTGATTGTTTTTTGTTGTTGTTGTTTGTCTTTCATTGTTATATTTTGTTGTTGTTGTTGTTGTTGTTGCCCATCAACGACAACAACAACAACAAGATCTTTGATAGAGATAATATCAAAGACATGGATTTCCAAACAGAAAAAACATTTTGAATTTTATCAAATTTTTGCTTTTGATATCTTTATTTAAATGGCCATATAAAAGACATTTGTTTGTTTTGTTTTGTCCCGATGTTTTGTGTAACAAAAACAAAACGCGAATAAAAAAACAATAACGAATGAATAACGAATCTTTTTTTGTTTGTAAAAAACAAAACATAACATCTTCAATAATCAAGACATCATCATGTAAAACAAGAAAAAGAAGCTAAGAATTTCAACAAACAAACAAATGATGTATTTTAAAATTGAAAAAAAAAGATTATAGTGTCGAGATTTATGGATTTTTCTTTTCATCTTTTCATTTGATCTGTCTATGTAATCATCATTATATAATCATCAACAACCAGAGAGAGAGAGAGAGAGAGAGAGAGAGAGAGAAAAAAAAATCCATCATCATAATCTTGATGATGGATTTTCAGCCATCTTTTTTCTTTCACTGTAAA